GCCGAGATGTGTATTGATCGAAGACCTGTAACGGACGTGAACTGTAATCTGCCTATGACTGTCAAGTCTTGGGCTGATGTTAGAAGACCTAGTAAGCTCTGCCATTGTCGGCGGTAGCGTGACAGTAGAGCTGGTGGAATGATCTGTTGGATCTTGAGCCAACGGTCTTCTGGTACGACTATACGGTTGAGATTGGTGATAAATCGGATTCCTAGGAATTGCAGATCTTGGCGATGGTACTAGGTCCGACTTGTGTAAGTTTACTAACCATCCCAGCTGTGTTAGTAGCTTTATGATGTAGTTTAACTGTAGTTTGAGATGCTGTGGATCTTGATCTACTTGTATCCCGCCGTCGAGGAAGAACGCACTGCATGAGCCCCCCTTGACGATGTAGATAGATAACAATCGGTTTCGCTATCCTCGTGAATAACCATGGGGCTGATGCTATTCCGAATGGGAGTACTTTCCACTGGTAATGTAACCCGCCTAGCGTAAACCGAAGGTATTTCCTGGATTCGGGATGTATTGGGATGTGCAGATAAGCATCTTGTAGATCTATACTGCCCATGTAGTCCATGGGGCTTAATCATCTGTCCGAAGGCGTAGATGTATCATAGTGAACCTGGGTGGTTTGTTTAAGTAAGTCTTGTTGAATAAGCTCATGTTGTAAATGAGTCTGTATTTCTCCTTGGAGTTCTTCTTGGGTACTAGGAAAACTGGGGAGTAGAAACCTGGTTCGATGTTTCCTTGCTCTCTATTACTTCTATGGCCTGCTTGGTTAGGAGTAATGTAACCTCTTTAACTTTAGTAGTTGTTGTGCCTCTACCCTCGAACTTGTGAGGGTTGACTGTTAGTGGAGGCTTGGCCTGTAGTGGGATACTAAATCTGCTGAAGAATGTTGGAGACATAGGTGTCTTGAAGTATTCCCCAGTTTTCCAGTGTAGTTGAAGACGCCCACCCACTTGTGACGGTTGTACTGGAACGCTGGGGTGGAAGACTCCAGTCGCTCAACCTGTCTTTCAGCCGCTTATAGTTGCGGGAACCTCTGGGTGTCCTGCCTCGCCCTGACCCTCCTCTATAGTTGCCATATGGGCTTACTTAAAAGAATCTCTTCCCCTGAACTGGCAATCTTCCTGTCTCTAGCTCTTTGTAGGCCCGTGAATTTAGATCTCCTGAGTATCTTTGTGAAGTCTGTCGAATGACACTGGCTAGCTTGGTCCATCGATTTAATCATCAGGACTTCTCTAGAATCCTAGGTGACTTCTTTGGAGACTGTGTCTATTCCTCCACCAAATATGGATGGGGAAGACCACGGGCTGTATATAGTGGAGCTGTAAAGTTCTCACCCCAGTTGCAGGAAGCTAGAGGCCTTGACGACGAAGCTAAGGTCAGTGCTGCTGAGACAGACGCCAGATGATCTGTTAAAAACTGCTGGTCCTTCTTTGCATCAGTAGGGCCGAGTAAATCATTCTGTCATCTTCAGAGGTCGTGGTTCAAATCTGGAGATAAGTGTCTCATTTATTGTTCTAGATCTATTTAGACCGAAGAACATACGCCTCGCCATGGTTTCTATCTGAACCAATTTCCGATCATCAATCTTGTAGTAATTTGTTCTTGGCATCGAGAGATCAGCTTATAGTTCTCATCGATGTTCTTGGCGCTTTGAAGAAGGGTTCCATATTATGCGTGGAGAACTTCTTACGCTGAAATTTGGCAGATGTGGCGCCTGAACCTTGTGTGGCTTTGTTAAATGCTGTATCTAGGTTCTGAGGTACCGCTAATCGGGTCGATTGGGGTAGTGTAATAGCATCTGCGCATCTTCTTTCATCAGATAAGTCTGCTCTTTATTGCCACTTTGGAAGGTGATGAGAGATCTAGATTATTGACCATCCAATATCTTATCTCTGCATCTGAGAAAATAATTCCTCCATCATCTTCCATTCCATCATCATAGATAAGAGGTTGTTGCTCTTCTGATGTAGGGCTGTGTGGCTCTATCTCTATATCGCTTGACGCTTTGTGGAGATCTAGTTGTAGGCTTATGTGCAGACCTGTGAGGTGATCGACGGGTGATCGGGCGAGGTGATCGCCTTGGTGATCTATATCGATAGGTTGATCTTCTTGGCGATCTATGAGGGGACTGATAGCTTCGCCGCTCTTGTGTAGTCCCTTGCTGATCTTTTAGATGAAGACGATCTGGGTTCAGGTGTCCTTCGCTAACGCTTCGCAAGCTTCAGATGCGTCCGTCCTGGGGAACGATGATATGACCTTCGCCAAGGCTTCATGCGGTGGTCTGGTGATCAGATTCCATATCTGAGTATGACGTTGAAGAAGGTGATGATTCTTCCCGCCGCTGAAGGCCTTCGCTGGCTGTACATCTGGGTCCTTCGTCGAGGTGGTCTCAGTGACTTCCTTCGCCGAAGGCTGCATTGTCGGGGCTGCTACGCTGACAGATGGTGCCCCCTGGGGTGCTGTTCACGCTTGGAGCCTTCGCCAAGGCTCGACCCTGGGATGGCTGCTTCTCCAGTCTATAGTGGCCTTCCATCATAATCATGATCTGTTTCATAAGATCGCTTTGGGATGATCTGCGACGAGTAGATGGTGCCCTTTCTGCTGTGTTAGCGGTGGGGCCCTCAGCCATCTCGCCTGACATCAGTGTAGAGGCATCAGGCTGCTTGTTGATCTCTGCTGACGCCACTGTCGCTGTCACTGGTCGCTTCTTGTGGCGTGATGTCGGTATGATGATCGGCTGGTCATCGAGAGGCCCAATTCTGCTGCTGGAACGATCTCGCCTGAGAAAGTTCTCGATGACTTCGTGATTTCCTTTGGAGGAAGACGCTGCCCCTGGGGGTACGGGTCTGCGCTGAGAAGACGCTGAGGCCCTCTTGGACTTTGTCTGCGATGACTGGATGTCTGGAGAGGCCGGTCGCTTCTTAGAGGTGACGGACTGCATCCCACGCCCCTCTTCCGATGGGGTCTCAAGCAGAACACCAGACGGGAGGGGATCACTCGACAGCAGTTGACTGGATGGGCAATCCGGACGACGCCATGTCTACACTCTAGTTTGGCGCGACCTATCTGCAACACGCCTCAAGACGCAAAGATGGTATTTATCAAAGGCAGAATTGGTTAAATTTATGCAGTAACTGCAACGCGAGTCAAACGCACAAGGCGTGAAGTACAACTAGGGCATACCACATGCGGATCCGCGAGCGAAAACGTATCTACAAATAGTACAGTTTTTCATCAATGTAAAACTAGCTGAACAATCACGAACTCACGTGAATAAACAGTAGAAATAATGATTAATTATTAACGCAAATAACTGAAGGATACTTTAGCTATACCTTTATAGTAAACTATAAAAAGGTAACTAACTAAGAAAAACCAAAGGATATAGTGTGTAAGGAGACACAGGCTCTCTCACATCCTGCTCACTGGGCGAAGAAGGAGAGAGTGAAGCATGAGGCCAGAGGGTGGCGACACCTGTTCCCGCGCTTACGGCAGGGGAGGTAACTCGTGGGTGAGTACCAATTAGTGATTTTACATTGAAGGGAGCTTCAATTAAGGAGATACAAGTGTTCCACTATGTTCGCAAGAGGAAGGGGACAAGCAAAAGAGCATGAGTCAGGATAAGGAAAAATATAATACCTACCAACTGGTTCACATTTAGAGAGTGAGTGAGTGAGTTGAAATTGAAATGCCACAACGGCTATATTTCAGCCATATAGCAACTCATACTTGGATATCAACACTGTTGTTTTAGTCCTTTACAGTCAACAAATAATTTTCAAGTAAAACACAATAAATAAATTAACATTGTTCCTTTCCCTGGTCACCAATACACCTGGGTTGGTATATATTATGAAACAAAACATTCAGTTGATGCTCAAATAATAATCAAGGATAATGCCCTACTCAAATTGAAAAAAAAACACCATATGGTCCTGTGCCAAGTCTAAACCCAGAATATATACTTTAAAATGATCAATGAAAGACATTAAATGACCTGCTTCAGCTTATTAAACACAAGTGAAAGTGAAATCTAAACATGGTACATGTTTCAATAAAAGTACACTGAAATATATTCATAATTTGGCAAGGTAATTTTATTTCCCTTTTGATTTACATTATTTACTGAAAAACTATTCAAATACTATAATCAGTAAATGATTAAATTACATATGGAAAAATATTAACATCATAAACAAATATTATAAAATTCATATCTCCCAATATAACCATCCATAAAATCACTTTACTTCATTGAATAAGAGTACAAAAAATATGTTGATCATCGGATGAAAATATTTCTTTGCTAAAAAGGTCCAGGCTACTATAATTACTTGTGTTAGCAGTTTACATCTACAAAATACCTGAAGACAGAAAAAAACAAAACCAAAAAGATAAAAATTCAATGACGAAAGGACAAAATATGATGAGAACTCTTAGACTCACAGAAAGTATTTAATAAAATAATGACGAGCATTCATGCAAATGTGTGAGTGAGTGAGTGAGTTGTGTAAAATGCTGCTATAAACAGAATTCCAGTTATATCACAGTGTGTCAGCTCAAGGTAGGAAGAAGGCCCAATGTTTACCACTTCGGTGCAACCCACAAGCATGAGTTTGGTGCTGACAAACCTCGAAACATTGGGGCAAACCACAATCATAGGTTCCTAGATGCTGTTGTACAAAACAACCTTAGAGCTACGACTACCTTAGATCTATGGTAAGGTGTGGTAGTTATGGTCACCTTAGTGCTAAGATCCCTTCGTACAACGGCTCCCTGGGATGCATCTCTGCACAGCAAACTGCAGCAGAACATGGCCATCCACACCCCTTCAAATCATTATTAATGAAAACAGATTTGTACATATGAACGACATTTAGACAAGACACAATTATCATTCCTACTGAAAATGTTTTTAAGTGAGTGAGTGAGTGAGTTTAGTTTTACGCTGCTTTTAGCAATATTTCAACAATTTTGTGGTGGGCAACATCAGAAATGAGCTTCACACATTGTATCCATGTGATTGTTCGAACCCAGATCCTCCGTGTGACGATCAAACGCACTTACTAGGCTACCCCATTGCCCCTAAGTGACAAGCGGATCTCTAAAACAAGTAATTAAACTGGTCTTGCCACATGATTGGACGACTGACAGTAAAGATCCCTTCCTTTCATGCTGTGCAGACTGACTGACTGTTCCGTAGGACACTAAAGTTGCCTTCACATGGCAAACTAATGTTTGACAACACATGTTGTTGAAATTTAAAAGTTCTCAAACTCACGTTATCACACGTCAAACACATGTTGTCAAACTTTCATGTCATTTGAGCGCCACGTCTCTATCGGTGCGGTCACGTGACAATTTCGTTGACTGCGATTGGTTGTTTCAGAACAACTCAAGTTTGACAACACCGAAAGTTTGATAGAAAAGTTGGGGAGAATAGAGACCGATCCTATTTCTCAACAACAGTTTGACAACTCTGAAATTGGTGTTGGTGGCGAGTTGTTGGAATATTCACACTCTCAAACTTGAGTTTGAGAACATCTGTTGTCAAACTTTAGTTTGCCGTGTGAAGGCAGCTTAACATTGACATGTGTCAGGCACTCAGTGTATTGGTTGATAATCTGAAGATGGGTGTTCAGGGATCAAGGGATCACATGCCCATCTGCATGTCAGCGAAGTTGTAGAAGTTGTCAATCTGCTGCAGCGCCGCGGAAAGGTTCTGGCTCACGAACACCAGTCCAGTCGTCCCCTTTGTAAGATCCACAACTGTGTCTTGGCAGTGTTTTATTGCACCGGTTCCATTATACTCCAGCCCAATCACAGGACCTGAAACAGTTTAAAAACACAGTAAGGACTGACATGAACATGAGTTTAACGTCTCAGTCAGCACTATCACAGGTCCTGAACCAGTTTACAAACACAGTAAGGACTGACACTATTATGAGTCTAATGCTTCAATCAGCACTATCACGGGTCCTGAACCAGTTAACAAACACAGTAAGAGCCGACATGATCATGAGTCTAATGCTTCAATCAGCACTATCACCGGTCCTGAACCAGTTTACAAACACAGTAAGAGCACAATCATGAGTCACAGTATCACCGTCCTGAACCAGTTTACAAAACACAGAAGAGCTGATGATCATGAGTCTAATGCTTCAATCAGCACTATCACCGGTCCTGAACCAGTTTACAAACACAGTAAGAGCTGACATGATCATGAGTCTAATGCTTCAATCAGCACTATCACAGGTCCTGAACCAGTTAACAAACACAGTAAGAGCTGACATGATCATGAGTCTAATGCTTCAATCAGCACTATCACAGGTCCTGAACCAGTTTACAAACACAGTAAGAGCTGACATGATCATGAGTCTAATGCTTCAATCAGCACTATCACAGGTCCTGAACCAGTTTACAAACACAGTAAGGACGGACACTATCATGAGTCTAATGCTTCAATCAGCACTATCACAGGTCCTGAACCAGTTTACAAACACAGTAAGGACTGACACTATCATGAGTTTAATGCATCAATCAGCACTATCACAGCTTACCATGTGAGCCTTTAAACACCAGTGTGGACTAGAAAAACTATGATCGATATAATGAGCAGCCTAAAATGATACCAACAATAAGCATAGTTAACCATTTTGGTGAAACACTGGATACAAGTACTGTGCTGACAACCTAGAATCATAATCAAGACAAATCTGTGAAACGTCACAGGCTTCTGTGACTCCATAAAGCAACTTGCAGCAGCGAAGATGACTGATCCAGTGAGTTTATGTTCTTGGTGCACCTGACCCGTGAAGATCCGGGTTCAACTTAAGTCTTCAGTAACCCATGCTTGTCGTAAGAGGCGACTAACTGGGTGGGGTGGTCAGTCTCGCTGACCTGGTTGACACGTCATTGTATCCCAACTGCGCAATACGATGCTCATGCTGTTGATCACTGGATTGTCTGGTCCAGACTCTATTATCTACAGACTACCGCCATATTATTGCTGAAATTTTGCTGAGTGCAGCATTCAATCAATCAATCCTGGTGCACCTAAGGGATGCAACTCTGCACTGAGAGTTGCTTCAAAGCTGCCCTGCTGTTCCTACCTTGTTGTACCGCTAATGAGTAGGAATCAGTGCCAAACACTCGTTGTGCGTCTGTAGCCTGCATAGAGACCTCCTTCGTCTGCATCAGGGAACAGTCCGGCTGAGGAAGGAACAAGCATTGAGAAATATCAGTTTTCAGTTTCACAAAAATCATATCCTTTCAGAGAGGTAATTCATGGTAAATTAACATTGTCAAGTGAATTTGATACACTTTGTATAATGTTAAGAAGCTTTTAGAAGATTGTTGCCATTAGTAACTGGGAAACATGAAAACAATTATACAAAACTCACACGATTATTCTTCATCGTCAAGTGAATTTGATATGCTTACTGTAATCTATAATGCTAAGCAGCATTTTGAAGATTGTTGCCATTAATAACAGGTAAATATGAAAACAATTATAGAAAACTCACATGATTATTCCTCATCGTTTCTATAAATGAGATTGCCCGGTCGTGTGAGCCTCCATCATTGAAGAATATAATGAGACAAGACTGGAACAGAGAGGTGAAACTATGAAACACTGTGTGAACCTCCATCATTGATGAAAATACTGACACATGACTGGAACAGAGAGATGAAAAACTGATCTCATATCTCCCATCTGTTGTGATAAGTAGACCTCAACACATCTGGTGCAGCCAAAGTATGCTCCGTGGTCAACCTACCTGAATTTCTATGGAGCTGTCCTCAAAGAGGCACTGTATCTCAATAACTGAAATAACAGATTTTACTAAGACTAGTGATATCACACACAAGATAATCAAGGTTGAGAGATCACATCACCAGGACATCTACATCACATTTTATCTTACCTCACACATAAATGTCGCTTTCTGATTGGCTGAGCGCTCATCTATTATTTTCAATGTACCCCGCTTACAAGCGAGGTACATTTCAATGTACCCTGCTGTCAATGGCAATTCATTTGGTACTTTGTGGTAGTAATTCTTTATCTCGAATTACATTGAATCACGTATGATGTACGGAAATTACAGATGTTTTGCGAATGCAAATCGATGGAAGGGAGATAACTCTAAATCTGTTCTTGTCAGCAAAATCTAGCGATGGATACAAAAAGATTTGTACCCGTGCTTAAAACAATTCAAAATTAACATTAAGGTGTTCGGTAAGATAATTACGTTGTTCACTGGTCCCTCGGGGCCCATGGGTTGATGTACCCATGCCCCCCTCGTGACCAGTGAACAACTTATAATGTATCAGGGAAAAAATCACTGCTTCACATATACAATTCAGGATCCCAACATTTGTGCAACAAAAACTTTCTGTTGGTAAAACTGTTGGTATATCTAGTTTTCACACCTCATCTGATTTTTTCCGCCGTGTGCCAAGTGTGTAAGGGACACAACTCTTCCTAGCATCATATGTGATCTGTAAAGAGGCAAACTCGTCCCCCGTTGGCAGTGGAACATAGTCCTCAATATTCACATCCTGAAGTAAATAAAGACATGACTAAACATTTATCACTCATGTCCCAAGCATTACAATGATCACATACATTATTATTTCCTCCTGTACCAAACAGTTGCTTCTTGATTTCAGTAACTAGGAATATTTTGGAAAAACATGTAATTTTCTGAATAAAATTGATATTTTATACTTATCCTGACTCATGCTTAATGCTTGTCTCCTTCCTCTTGCGAACATAGTGGAACACTTGTATCTCCTATTGAAGCTCCCTTCAATAAAGAACAGACGTAAATTCACTCCTACCAAGAGTTATCTCCCCCGCTGTTTAGGTGGGAAACTGTGGCGCCACCGTCCCCACATGCCTCACTCTCTCCTGATTATGAGCCCGACACTTGAATTTGCAGGGAAATCCAAAGTGTCTAGTGGGGAGGCTGGGTGGGCTTACCTCATGAGTCAGGATAAGTATAAAATATCAATTTTTCCTTATCCTGACTCATGCTTAATGCTTGTAGAATCCGACGGAAAAGGCGGCGGGCAAGCTACTTTGGATTTCATAGAAGTATCCTTACAAGTACTGGGTCATGTTGCTTATGCTAGTCTGTCCTAGACGTGCATATAGACTTAAAGTAAAACTCTCCAGAGTGTAGGCTTTGTAAGTCATGAGATAAAAGGGGCGAGACTCCGTCTCAGCGCCTTATGGGACTGTCAATTGTTGTGCTACAACAAGTGAGCCGAAATGGTGAATGTCAGAGCCGTCCTCAGTGGCGACGTCCCTTTCAGGTAGTGGTTGGCAAACATCCTGTCCCATTTCCAGAAGCAGCCCTCCATTATCGTACTGATAGAGCGATTCCCATGTAGAGCGAGCGTTGATGTCAGAGCTCTAATTGCATGTGGGTTGGAGACTCTTGGAGGAAAAAGGCCTGCTGCTTTGTAGGCCCGTAGTATGACAGTTCTGATCCAGCTTGAAATCTTAGTGCGGCAGACCTCCGTCTGTGTCGCTGTCTAGATCGAGATGGAAAGACACTTGAATTTCCGTCACCTGTACCTGGATCTTTGTTGGTAGACTGTGGTCCAAGGACTGATGATAGTGTTGGGACGTGGAACTGTCTGTCTGGATGACCTGACAGTTGATTCTTTGCTATGAAGTCCCATCTCAGTCCCATATGCACGATGTTATGATTATCATCAAATCGTGTTCTCTCGGAGTTCAGAGCATGGATTTCCGACATGCTTGCTGCTGTTACTAAGGTTATCAGGAACAGCGTCTTCTGCATCAAGAACTCGAATGATGTTCTCTGTAATGGTTCGTAGATCTCACTAGTGAGATGTCGTAGAATTACGTTGAGGTCCCAGGCCGGAGCTTTAAATCTCTGATGTTGGTCCTCCAAATAAAAGGGTGTAGTAAGGCCAGTAACTCTGGTACTTTAGTCAGTTGCACTCGTCCTCATGGCGATAACTGAGAACAATGCCGCTAGGTATGTTGAGAGTGTTAACCCTTTTAACCGCTTCCTTTGTCTAGGTGACAAAGGTAGTACGCCACTTGAGGATGTGTCACTATCATGGTAGTGAAGTCGATCCTCGAAATGTATCATTTGTCTCAAAGCGTCACTACTTGTCGCGTGAAGACTTGCGTAAAGCTAGTGTGACTGCTTTCGCTACCCTGGCGAAATATCCTCTCTTTGTTCAAGCATGCTTGATACAGTCCATACGTGGAGCCGGAACACCTCTGGGTTGCCGTGCGCCTGCTTTGTGTGAGGATGTACTAGTAGATTCGTCCACTCTGGTAGTTGCAGTTGAGGCAGTCCTAGGTCTTTTATGAGAATAGGGGACCATATTCTCGCTGGCCAAAAAGGCGTGCCCCAAGTAGTTGTGGGTCTCTCGCCTGACTGATTTCTGCAATACCCTTGGTATTAGAGCTGGTGGAGCAAATGCGTAAGCGTTTAATCCTAGCCAGGAGATGCTTAGCGTGTCCGTTGCCCAGGCCCGTGGATCTGGTATTGGTGAGACAAATGTTATCAGTTGACCCTTGTGGCGAAGAGGTCTATTAATGGTGCTACCATCTCTTGTATGATCTGCTTGAAGATCTCTGAATGTAGCATCCAGTCTGTTGAGAATGGCTACATTGGACAAGATAGTGCATCTGCTATCACATTCTTGATCTTGGAATGTGGCATACTCTGATGTGGACATTCAGGTTGACTGTTATGCTGACCAGTTGAAAGCAGAGGTCCAGAAGGTTCGCCGACTTTGTTGATCCTTCTGCAGATGTAGACCGTCACTGTGGAGGTGATTGTATGTACCGTCAGATGAGCATTCTTCAAAATGCTGATCCAGTGGAGTATGTCGTTTATCACTGCTTTCATTTCCAGCATGTGGAATTGTAGATCTACACTGCTATGGTCCATATCCCAGCTGACACATTGTTGTCGAGGTGTGCTCCCCAATCTTGGAGAGATGCGTCCACATAGAGATGCGTCTTGTACTCCCGCTCTGATAAATAGGTGCGTCTGCGACCCTCCTATCTCTGAGTCCACCATATTAAATATGGATTTAATCTGTCCGAGAGTCCGAAGGGGTCCGGATCGTCCAGTTGTACATTCACGAATATCTGTAGCGGGCGTAGTTGTAGACTCCCTTCGCGTGTCATGTCTTGTCCTGACGTGAAAAGAAACAACAGACTCAGCCACTTCGTAGTAATTACGGAGAAAGTAGTGCTTGAGATACAAAGACTTGTATCTATATCCTACAATCTTGAAACCCTTGCTGTGTCTGTAAGGGAAATGAAGCGATGTCTGACTCTGTGACTGCCATCGTTGAGAAGTCTATATATAGTCGTCTGGCTGCCGCAACCTTAGTCAGGCCAACATATGTTGCTGCAAGTCGTCTGAAGAATCGTCTTCAATGATGACAGGGGAGGTCTCTAACCCCATGAAGGCAGCCAAATCACTAAGGTCCCATCTAACTGGACTGTAATGGAGGCGTTCCTTTGTTTGCTGACATGTTGTTGTCACTTGTAACCCATTTCTTGACCTGTGAACTACGTCCGACCTCTGCGCAGGGCGTTGTCTCTCGTGGTCCAATCAAAATAAAGCATTTTGATTCCTTAGGCTAGCCGCGCTGTGACGTCATCGGTGTAGCAGGAAAAAGGTCCTTGTAGAATCTAGTGCCGCCGTTAATATCTGATCAATTGTCGGTCTTGTCTGTAGCCTTCCGAAGTTACACGAGTGACCACGTGTATCGAGGGTTGAATGGTAAACGCGCGAAATATTTCGCCGCGTTATACCGATGTGTGTAGGCTGTTTTCCTGGCTGCTGTGACTTTTACTTCAATCCTGAAGATAATGCCGTCGCCCTTTATACAGAGGATCAACTGAAATCTTCACGTTGTCAGCTTGTAGACTGCATACATCAATGAAGCGTCATAATTGTAGAATTAATGCTGAACTTCTTGTAAATTCTGCTCAGGGAATCGTTGACGAGTATGTATTTCCCTAGCCGTAGCAAGGCTGCTGTTGAACCCCGCCAGTGAGAATATCTGCAGATCTGTACGAAAGTGAAGATCTCTATATGGCCATACGTCTTCTCATGTAGATATATCAATCTATGTGAATCTTGGATTCCGTCTGAAGATCTGTGCCGGTGATGAATTCGGGACAAGAGTACCCCTCTTGAACTGTATTACATGTTCTTCAGTCTGTGTACCGACGACGATCTTTGCCTTCTAGGATGACGCTACCTCGTGTCCTGGTTGAATAACCTTGAAGATCTGCGTAGCGATCTGCGTTGTGCTAGGCGTCGTTGATGCCCTTGATGTAGGTAGTCGGTCTGAAGATCCTTTATTAGGTTCTTATCTGTTGACAGTCTCTGAAGATCGCGCCATCCTTCGCGCCAGTAATACTGCAAATATATGGCCTGTGCGAATGCCTTCGCGCAGGCTCGGTGATGGTATGTAGCGTTCTGTTGAGAATCTCAGTACTGCAGCGTCTCTGCGTTGTATATGGCCTGCGCGAATGCCTTCGCACAGGCTTGTTGACAGCCTGTAGCGTTCAGTTGAGTGTGCAAGTTCTTCGTGGAGACCTGCGCGGAGATGAGTAACTGTGAGTTCACGAATGTCTCGGCGAATCCCTCGACGATCTGCATGATGCGGAAGCTATCTTGGATACTGTATCTGAAGTCCTTCGCGAACGCTGATCAGCTGATTCCACATCTGGGGTAATGGCGACTAGTCCTTCGTGAATGCCTTCGAGAACGCTGATTGTCCGATTCTGTATCCACGGATGGGTGATTCCTCCTTCGCGAACGCTGAATATCTGATTCCGCATCTGGTGAATGACGACTGGTCCTTCGCGAACGCCTTCGCGAACGCTGACGTCCGATCCGGGGATGGATGAATCCTCCTTCGCGAATGCCTTTGCGAACGCTGATCATCTGATTCCGCATCTGGGGAATGGTGACTGGTCCTTCGCGAACACCTTCGCGAATGCTGGTCGTCCGATTCTGTATCCGGGGATGGCGATTCCTCCTTCGCGAACGCCTTCGCGAATGCTGATCGTCCGTGTCCGCCGCAGGGGATGGTTGAGTCGACCTTCGCGCAGGCTGGCCTGTAGTGTAGATCTGCTGCCAGATGTCACGATGATGGAGGGTCCCTCAGAGACGATGTCTGCGTTGGAACCTTCGCGAAGGCTCGGGAACTCGTTGTGGGCTGTGACTTCTTCTCCAGGCCGTAACGCTGCTCCATCATCTCCTGCATAAAGTCACCCGGGTTGAAGGTCTGAGGTGGTAGTAGCGCTGCCCTTTCTGTGGTGATAGCGACGTGACCCACAGGACGCTCATCTGTTGTCATCGTAGATACCTCGGGTACCGTGGAGATCTGCGCTGAAGTCACCGTCTTGTGATGAACCTCTGGGAAGACGATCGGTTGAACATTGGAGAGTCCCTGTACCGTCAACGGAACAATCTCGGCAGAGAAAGTCCTTGTAGTCTGCGCAGACGTCCCCGTAGAGTTGGTCATCATCTGAGGGGTGTGTAGCCTTCTCTGGGTAGAGGATGGCGTCTATTCATCATCTGCGATGATTGTAGAGCTGCCCTCTCTGCGTTGATAGCGATATGGTCCGGGGCTCGCTCATCTGTCGCCCTCGGACTGCGTGCTGTATCTCTGGGATGATCAGCAGCGGCTCATCATGAAGCCCTCTCTCTGCCATCGGGATGATGTCTGTGAGGCTTCATTCTGCGTAGAGGATGGTGTCTTCTTCTACGTCTGCGTTGAGGGGTTGTCCGATGTAGAAGCCAACGTCTTCGAAGTAAAGGCGGACAACATCCCACGCCCATCCTCCGAGGACACCTCCGGCAGGTCACTTGATGGTAGTAAGTCGTCTAACAGCAGTAGACAGCTCGTGAGGGACTCAGCCAGTTTATCCATGACTTGGAAAGTCACCTGGATAGTCGATAGTACGTCTAAGTACAGAGAAAAATTATTTATTAAATTGAATTTCAATTAAATGCTGATAAAGACTACAGCTATAGCTGGAAGTACATGTTGTTGTGCAGCTAGGGCACAATCAATGCGGGTCTGTAGCAGCAAACCTAACCTACAACGAAAATAGGTTATCATGAAATGTAAACAACTGAACAAACACGGACAATTCCGAGAATAAACAGTGTTAAATACGATTAAATATCAAACAATATTGTTGAAGGATACTAACTAAACCTCTATAAAAGTAGAATAGAGGAGAATAATTAAGTAATTAAAGGATATAGTGCCGTATAGAAGACACAGGCGCTCTCACAACCTGCCCACAGGGCGAAGAAGGAGAGAGTGAGGCATGTGGGGACGGTGGCGCCACAGTTTCCCACCTAAACAGCGGGGGAGATAACTCTTGGTAGGAGTGAATGTACGTCTGTTCTTTATTGAAGGGAGCTTCAATAGGAGATACAGGTGTTCCACTATGTTCGCAAGAGGAAGGAGACAAGCATTAAGCATGAGTCAGGATAAGGAAAAATTTACATTCTTTATCTGGTATTTTTGTCTTAATGCTATTTATCATAAAACATTTACTGTTCGCACTCAGCATCAAAATCATCTATACTATATGTACTCATACCATTGTAACACATTTTATTTCATTTTTAAAATATTATCAATAGCTTCAAAGCAAGCCTATATCAGCTTATGTGCTTATATGTGACCTTCTAAACTTGATTACGATCCAAGGGTTGAATAAGGTTTTAGCAATATCACAGCTAAATCACTGTGGGGACACCAGAGACTTGATATTGCAAATATGTGGGTAGCATAGAAACAAACTGGATTGGGTCACCCACTGGCCTACATCCCACCCCCTACCCTCTAACCCCCACCACCAGTATGGAAACAACCTGGATTGGGTCACCCACTGGCCTACATCTCACCCCCTACCCTCTAACCCCCACCACCAGTACGGAAACAAACTGGACTGGGTCACCCACTGGCCTACATCTCACCCCCTAACCCCCACCACCAATATGGAAACAAACAAGATTGGGTCACCCACTGGCCTACATCTCACCCCCTACCCTCTAACCCCCACCACCAGTATGGAAACAAACTGGACTGGGTCACCCACTGGCCTACATCTCACCCCCTAACCCCCACCACCAGTATGGAAACAAACTAGATTGGGTCACCCACTGGCCTACATCTCACCCCCTACCCTGTAAGTTCTAACACCCACCACCAGTATGGAAACAAACTGGATTGGGTCACCCACTGGCCTACATATCACCCCTAACCTCTAACCCCCACCACCAGTATGGAAACAAACTGGATTGGGTCACCCACTGGCCTACATCTCACCCCTAACCTCTAACCCCCACCACCAGTATGGAAACAAACTAGATTGGGTCACCCACTGGCCTACATCTCACCCCTAACCCCCACCACCAGTATGGAAACAAACTAGATTGAGTCACCCACTGGCCTACATCTCATCCCCTACCCTCTTACCCCCATCACCAGTATGGAAACAAACCGGACTGAATCACCCACTGGCCTACATCTCGCCTCGTCACAATAATGTCCCCATAATGCCAGGTTAAGCTGGTACTCACCTCTGCAAGGAGGGAGAAGTTTGTTTCCCCTGGGGCGGGAGTAAAGTCATGGATGTTGCCCCAGTTATTGTTGAACACTGTCCTCTCTGCCGCCTTCATCTGACCTGCAAACAGACATGGGGAGCCGTGAACTTGCAGGCTATACAGACGAAACATTTTTTGTCCTATTTGTTTGCTGTTCATGGCGTCAGTCTGTAAAAAATTGAGTCTGGACCTGACAATCCAGTGATCAACAGCATGAACATCGATCTACACAGTTGGAATATGATGACATGAGTCAACCAAATAAGCAAGTCTGACCACCCAATCCTGTTAGCTGACTCTTAAGACAAGCATGAGTTGCTGAAGACCAATTCTAACCTGGATCTTTACAGGTTAACTTTTGTACTATACTTGCATAAATGAAAAGTGACTGTAATAACTGAATTTCACATGGGATGCAAAATGTCAATTAGAATCATTCAAACCAATTCATTTGTAGCTATGGTGGCACGCACATAACAGATTACTATCACTCAGTCACTAAGAACAAAAATGTTCTACAGTCATCCCTCGCCATAAAGCGGGTCTTGAGGTTCATGGATGACCCCACGCGTTATTAGACACCCGCGTTATAGTAACGATTACATAACGCGGAACAAAGGCCAAGTAAAATCGTATTTTCCATGGACATAACAAAACTGCTATTTCGTGCATTGTGCCCAGTCATCGTATTGTTGGAGGTGAAACACAAACAAACTTTGTTAATGAAAATAGATGTATGTACATGAAACTTGCAATCAAACATCACAAGACATGATAATTCAATTGTTGTTCCTGTCATGCTACCTGTTAGTCAACTAAGATGGAAATAGCAATCAGCTGGGCACAGATCGATGTTTTGGTCCAATGTACCGGTGATTCAGTTAAAAACGATCCGAAAATATAACATCAAAGAATTTCTATTCCATTATCAGAATAATTTATATGTCAAGCAGTTATTCTAACAGAGATCTTATATATTGCTATCGTATAAGTATAATGCATGTTTTCTACGAACATATTTAACTAATAATTAGCACGTTGAGTTACCTGGCTGGATACATTTTACGTAGGAGACAGTTTGACAAGTCACCGCTGACTTCCCGTGGTACGTGCCACTTTGATTGTAAAAACAAAATGTTCGCAATTAATTGTCAAATATGAGTTAAATGAGTCAATAACGCGGGTCTTGGGGTCAATGGATGACAAGGCTGTAATCTGTTCGTGATTGTTGAGAAAAATGTGAAATTGGTGCTATTCGCGGTAGGCATGAAAACCGGACCCTCACGAATGTGGTAAGCGGGCGTTGTATGGAATGAGGTAATGCCATTTCACTCACGGTTTCTCCGTTGTTATTGTAAAAAGTTTTAATGAATGAAAATGGGATTGAATTTAATTGAATTTAAACCGCCGCAAATTATCAAATCAAATTTAAAAAGTAATGAAAGTGAAGGTCGTAATTTAAGATGAAGTTAAATGTAAACAAAAACATGACGAGTCAACCACTCTTGATATCTTGCTCTGTAGTTGTTCAAACGCAAAAATAGTTTCAAGACTCATTTTGACCTTGACATGAATGTCTTAATGTATGAAATAAGCAAAAATAGTAATAAAGAAATTGCTTATTACAAAACATTCAAGGGAAGTCTTGAAAGTCTATGAAAAAAATCCAGTGAACTGTTCTTGAGATATCTCGCTGACAATCTTAACATGCAGTTTAAGATGCTGAAATCTTCAAAGTGTCGCCATGACCTTGAAACTTATGTGAAGGTCACCAACATCGACTGGCCCTTGCACCTTCCCCAGATGAAGCTTGGTGTCAAATATGAAGAGTGTCCAGTGAATGGTTCTTGAGATATCTCGCTGACAATCTTTACATGCAGCTTAACATTCTGAAACCTTTAAAGTGTCGCTGTGACCTTGAAAATTAGGTGAAGGTCACCAAAATCGACTGGGCCCTGCGCCATCCCTCGATGAAGCTTGATGTCGAATATGAAGAAAATCCTGTGAACGGTTCTTGAGGTATCTCGCTGACAACTTAACATGCAGCTTAACATGCTGAAATCTGCAGAGAGTCGCCATGACCTTGAAAATTAGGTGAAGGTCACCAAAATCGACTAAACACGCGGCAAGGGATAATAAAATGTGTTTTCTGACATCATACATTCTCGGATGGCGGGGCCACGGAGCAATGGGAGCCACGGATTAACCCACGGTTTAACCGAATCCGCGGTATTGCGGGGGATGACTGTATGTCCATGATGTTGCGAAGATTAACACTTTCAACAAACATTAACATTACAGTTAAATTACAGAATTATACAGAGCAAGTCAGCCAGCAAAGGAGGTGCAGTAACGGGCTACACTTTTGTAAAATACAACTCACGTGAGTAAGTCAGTCAGTCAGTCAGTCAGTCAGTGAAGATATCTGGTCACATCGGCAGTGTTTCAGGCATATAGTGACCAAAACAAGTTATACATTCATGACACATAAACAGAGAATATAAAAACATGTTGAAGATCCATATTAAAAACAATAAGAAAATCACAGATACAGATGTAAAACCAGCATGTAAATCTAAAACCATAGACAATAGAACATATAAAACAAGCCACAAATCATCAACAACTGAAGGTAGATCACCATACTAAGGACCATGGGGTCTTACGGTGCGTTTGGAGATTGTGCTATTTATATATTTTAAAAAACATATTTATCAAAATTATTTAGACAATTCAATTACTTTCACAAAAATAATCACCAAATGACCCGGTCAAAAAGATCCTTCATTGTTTTTACACTGAAATATTCATCCCCTGTGATGGAAAAATCAATACAGGCAAGCAGGACGTGCTTGACGGTGAATATTTCATCACAAGGGAAACAGATTGAGAGGACCCTCGCCTTTGAACAGGTACTCATGAGTATATCTAGAATGACCAACACGACAATGTCCCATAAAAACTTCTTCAAATCTGAACTAACAACTCAAAGATCAATACAAAACAAGGAGACATGGACATCAATCTGTTCCTATTTGGTTCCTGTTTTTTAACTCCACCACAACATTCATGTTCTGAAAATACATACCACATTTGGTTTCCCTATCCATAACGGTTATTGAGAAAATCTGTTCCCATTGAGGATAATGTACACTAAGACAAGAAAGGCATGACAAGGGCCATAACTCCGTAACAAACTGTAACACAGTTTCCTTTTTCGAACTCCATCAAGGTATTCATGTCCTGAGAAAATTTGTCCCCATCATCTCTGATGGACAGATCGACAGAGCTCAGACCTATATCTCCCTCCCACTTCGTGGCAGGGATAATAATCAATACAATAAATCTGAGAAAAAATCAAATATTTAACATTTTTCAAATTATTTCAAAATTTGTGCCAAGTGAATCAATGGAAGCTAATAATCATTACAACCCACATGGGTAGAATGTATGAATATTGCTAAAAGGGACATAAAACTTGACTCCCTTCAGTCACTCACTTAGGACAACATACTCCTATGTTCCTCCAACTTACTGTCCAGCTGTGGGTAGGAGCACTGGAAACAGCCGAACTTGACATTGTTGGTGGACTCGATGATCGGCTGAGAGCCACAACACAGAAACATGTCTAATCGGCTGCAGTCTCGAGTCCGGAACTGCTGGCAAGCAACGATGGCTTTGACGTCTTTGCAGTCACGGAAAAACACACTGAAACCAAGATGTACTTTGAACAAAAGGGTGTAGATTAAATATCACGTTTTCCTAGAATAATGCCATTTTTAATAAAGCTAGTGAAGAAAGCTCAAACTTTTGGCATAATCATGATTATATACTGTGTTACTACTGTTGGCCATATTAGAAAGCTTGCATCTTTCACATCATGGACAGCACCTATATAGAATTAGCATATGGTGGTCATGTATTCTACTGACCAGATTTCAATCAGCGGTCCAAGCTTGAAGCACAAGGTGACTGAATGGAACTACAGATCAGACATGGCCTAGAATGCTACATCACACTCTGATGGCATGCTGTTGAAGCTCATTATGTCAACCACCATTTTGTGTTGTCCAGATTTGATATTTACAGGCTACTGTCAAAGAGCCAGAATATTGCTGAATGGAGCAACAAACAAACATAATTATTTATCCATGCTTTGTTACAAAGGAGAAAGCAGTTGGAGCTGACATGATTCCGACAAACCTTGTTTTGATTGGTCCAAGGAACATCCGGCAGTTTGTGCAGTCATCTATGGTTATAGTTGCAGAGTGGTCAAACACATAGATGTTACAGTCCTAAAAGAAATGTAGAAATGTACAAAACAACAGCAACAACATTAACGATGACAACAACATGGAAGATAATAATCATTATCACTTTCATAATTAGCAGCAGTGTTAAGTCATATTTAGAACATATTCCCCTGGGTTAAAACGCACCTAACATCCATGATACCTTATCACCTACCGATCATGGTGTCACAACAATGCAACAGTGTACTTTCCTACATTCTCAGCTGGTTAGCTTGGTAGAGTAATGGTATGAATACACAATGACATTTAGAAAGTGGTCAAATATAACAGGTTATATACTGGACAAAATAAGTTAGGGATATTGGTATTTTTATGATTGATATTTTATCAGTGTGTCATTGAATAAATAGATCATTATTCATAATTTCAAAAATTACATATATGCCTAACTATTTTTGTCCAGTATATTTGGGATTACTCTTTCTGGGATGTACATATTCTAGTACTTTTGTTGGAAATTCAAACAAAAAATATGACATATATTGTTAAGTTATGAGTTCAATTTTCTACTGAAATTGGTAATAAAGCAGCAATAACATAACCAATAAAACCAGCTACACCACTGCTGTCTGTAATCTTAACAAACCTTACACATAAGTTACCATGATAAACCTATGGTAGTTACCTCACAGTTCTGTATAACAAGCTGTTGCCCATTGACAGTTCCTGGCAACCGACTGACAGTCTCATTCTTCAAGTTCTCTATGATGAAGTCTTTCACATTCACCTTAGCTCGCACGTCCCTGAAAAAAGTCAGTGAGTTTAGTTTTTTGCTGCTTTTAGCAATATACCAGCAATATCGCGTGGAAGACACCACAAATGGGCTCCACACTTTGTACCCATGTGGGGAGTCGAACCCAGGTCTTCGCCGTGACAAGCCTTTAACCACAACGCTACCCCACAGCACCCCTGAAATACATAACCACAGATGTTATGTTTGTTTCTTGTATATAAGAATATCTATATCACGAGGGTCCATGATACATTGATGTATCGCCACAAGAGACGATATATCCCGATACTACTTGAATACTACCGTATATGACCGTCTATAAGACGACCCCATAGATAAGACGACCCCCAAACTTGACCCTTAAAATCAGTGTCAAAATGGTATGTTTCATGCATAAGTCGATCCCCCCCGATGGGGTCCTAATCGCGGCAAACACAGACAACTGGCAGTTACCAATAATTATAACTTTGGTCCACATTATTCAAAGAATTCACAGTCATATATATTGTGTCTACTCACGGATCGAAACGAAGTGTAGTTGACAGAAAATGCATAATATATTTTACTTCTCTAAATATCATATTTATTGTAGCAACAAACTGGCTTGCTTATTTTACCCCATTCAACAATCACTTAACTGATTACCGCTTTTTCCATTGACTGCTAGTTTACAGTAACATCGGTAAAATGTGTGGATTTAAATGGCTTCCTCGATTTTACCCCATTCCATGTGCTGCATAACTTCTGCTTACCACGTTCATGAAGGTCCGTATAACCTTAGTGTTGATTATATATATATTTTACATAAAAACTGTAATTAAAATTACACAATGCTAGGATATATTTCTTTGGGTTAAATAATAGTATTCTGTATTATATTTTACTGATGACTGCGTCAGAATTCATCCCGTTATATTATTGTGCATGTTTGAACTTGTTCGCTTGGAAACGTGTGCACAGCTGATGGCTATTTCCGGCTCAAATACACACGGTAATCTTAATCTTAATTAATTTATCGAACAAAAACTGTAACTAAAATTACACAATGCTAGGATATATTTCTTTGGGTTAAATATGTAATTTTCTGAGTAAAATTGATATTTTATACTTATCCTGACTCATGCTCTTTTGCTTGTCCCCTTCCTCTTGCGAACATAGTGGAACACTTGTATCTCCTTAATTGAAGCTCCCTTCAATGTAAAATCACTAATTGGTACTCACCCACGAGTTACCTCCCCTGCCGTAAGCTCGGGAACAGGTGTCGCCACCCTCTGGCCTCATGCTTCACTCTCTCCTGATTTTGCGAGCCCAACACTTGAATTTACAGGGAAATCCAAAGTGTTATGTGGGGAGGATGGGAGGGCTAACCTCATGAGTCAGGATAAGTATAAAATATCAATTTTACTCAGAAAATTACATATTTTTCCTTATCCTGACTCATGCTCTTTGCTTGTAGAATCCAATCGGAGAGGTGGTGGGTAAACAGAATACTTTGGATTAATTAGTGATTTAAGTAAGTGATATTGTAATAACCCCTCATGGAACTTCATAAGGCATTGAGACTTAGGATATTTCCTTATAATAATCCATAGATATATACACTATAAGGGGTATTACCTTACTAATATACTGATATATCAATATATATATATAAACTGCTACTCTAACGTAGCTGTACACTGAATATAACTCAGTATGAGCTTAAGGTTGAATAACCTAAGCTAAATATGTACATAGCCCTAGAACTCCATGGAGTTATAAGCTAGTGAATATATGTATCATATATCTAATAATCGCGGGGGTGAATATTAACGCTTCACGAGGGACTGTCAATTGCTGAGCGAGGACCAAAGGACCGAAATGATGAATGCCAGAGACGCCCTCGTGGTGATATCTCTGAGATAGTGATTAGCAAACACCATGTTAGATTTCCAAAAGCATCCTTCCATAATTGTATTCAATGAACAGTTACCATGAAGGGCTTAGGTGGATGCCAATGCCCTGATTTCATGGGGATTTGATGCTGTTGGAGGGTCCAGTCCTGCTGCCTTATAGGCTGTAAAATGACAGTTCTTATCCATATTGATATGGTGGTACGAGACTTCTGTCTGATTTGTAGGCTTATAACGGGATGAACAATCTTCTGAGCGATCTTCGCCTTGTTTTGGAACGACGTAAATAGATTATGAGAGCTCAGTACTGGGCATAGAGATAAGTCCAATGTATCTTGAGATCCAAGAATTGAGGATAGCGCAGGGATGTGAAATAACCTGTCTGGTTGACCTGGTAGTTGATTTTTAGCGATGAAATCCCATCTTAATCCCAGGTGCTGTCTTTTGATTTTCATCAAACTGTATCCTCTCATAATCTAGAGCATGAATTTCAGATATTCTGGCTGCCGTGGCTAGCTTATAACAGGAAGACTGTTTTCTGTGAGAGAAATTCAAACGCTAATCGATTCCAATGGTTCGTAATCCTCACTTGTGAGGTGTCGTAAAACTACATTCAGATCCCAAGCTGGGCGGGAATTTCCGCTTTGGTCCTCCAATCGAAAGCACGTAGTAAGGCCAGTAACTCTGGTGTTCTTGTTAATTTAACACCCGCTCTCATAGAAATCACAGAACTAAGCTGCAAGATATGTTGACAATGTCGAGCCTTTTAAATGTTTGTTTTGCCGTAAGTAACACAAATAGTCTGCCACTTGAGGATGCGTAGCATCTCTCGCTGTAAACCCTTGTTTGTTGCATAATTTTCAAACTTTGCCACTTGTCATCGCATAAGTTACGCTGAGTATCGTAAGGCAAGCGTGACCGCTTTTGCCGCCCTGGTAGAATATCCTCTTGTTTAAACACATTTTAATACAGTCCATACGTGAAGTTTGAATACTTCTGGGTTTCTGTGCACCTGTTTGGTGTGAGGATGTATTAACAGGTTTGGCGCTTGGGTAGTTCTAGTGCCGGTTGACCGATATCTTGTATTAAGGCGGAAACTGACGCTCTGGCCGACCAATAGGGTGACCAAAGTGAGTTGTAGGCTCTGCGTTTGGTTGATTTTCTGTAATACTAGAGGTATTATTGCTGGGGCGAAACGCGACGTCGCATTGAGGCCTTCCCATGAAATGCTTAGAGCGCCTGTTGTCCATGCTTGTGGGTCTGGCACTGGTGACACGAATGTCGGTAGTTGATTGTTGAACCTTGTGGCGAATAGATCTACTAGCGGCTCTATTTGCTTGATTATCTGTGCAAATATCTCTGTATTGAGCATCCATTCTGTCGGGCGACGGTAGATGTGGCGAGAGAGCGTCTGCTAGTATATTCCTGGCTCCGGGAATGTGGCATGCTTTGACATGTAGATTTAGATCTTGGATTAATTCAACAGTTGAAAGGTTAAATTCAAAAGGTTCGGCGATCTCGTTGAGCCTTGTCTGTTCACATAAAACGCCACTGTCGAAGTTGTCGGTATGTATCATCAGGTGCGCATTCTGTAGAATGTTGCTCCAATGTCTTATGGCGCTGATTACAGCTTTCATCTCTAATGCGCTTATGTGGAGTTTGCTTTCTAGCTGAGTCCATAACCCTGATGCCGTCGGTTGGAGAGATGAGCTCCCCAACCTTGGAGCTGACGCTGCCTACATATAGATGGGTCTTGAATTCCTGCTCTGCTAAACAAATCCCTTCGCGAGACATTCGATTTCTTTGTCCACCATAATAGATGAGGTCTGAGATGTATCGGTAGATTGAATGGTTGTAGGTCGCCGAGATGTGTATTGACGAAGACCTGTAACGGACGTAACTGTAATCTGCCTATGACTGTCAAGTCTTGGGCTGATGTTAGAAGACCTAGTAAGCTCTGCCATTGTCGAAGTGGTAGCGTGACAGTAGAGCTGGTGGAATGATCTGTTGGATCTTGAGCCAACGGTCTTCTGGTACCGACTATACGGTTGAGATTGGTGATAAATCGATTCCTAGGAATTGCAGATCTTGCGATGGTACTAGGTCCGACTTGTGTAAGTTTACTAACCATCCCAGCTGTGTTAGTAGCTTTATGATGTAGTTTAACTGTAGTTTGAGATGCTGTGGATCTTGATCTACTTGTATCCCGTCGTCGAGGAAGAACGCACTGCGCGTTAGCCCTTGACGATGTAGATAGATAACAATCGGGTTTCGTTATCCTCGTGAATAACCATGGGGCTGATGCTATTCGAATGGGAGTACTTTCCACTGGTAATGTAACCCGTCCTAGCGTAAACCGGCTGTATTTCCTGGATTCGGGATGTATTGGGATGTGCAGATAAGCATCTTGTAGATCTATACTGCCCATGTAGTCCATGGGGCTTAATCATCTGCCGTAGCTGCGTAGATGTATCATAGTGAACCTGGGTGGTTTGTTTAAGTAAGTCTTGTTGAATAAGCTCATGTTGTAAATGAGTCTGTATTTCTCCTTGGAGTTCTTCTTGGGTACTAGGAAAACTGGGGAGTAGAAACCTGGTTCGATGTTTCCTTTGCTCTATTACTTCTATGGCCTGCTTGGTTAGGAGTAATGTAACCGCCTCTCTTAACTTTAGTAGTTGTTGTGCCTCTACCTCAACTTGTGAGGGTTGACTGTTAGTGGAGGCTTGGCCTGTAGTGGGATACTGAAATCAGCGTTGAAGAATGTTGGAGACATAGGTGTCTTGAAGTATTCCCCAGTTTTCCCAGTGTAGTTGAAGACGCCCACCCACTTGTGACGGTTGTACTGGAACGGCTGGGGTGGAAGACTCCAGTCGTTCCGAACCTGTCTTTCAGCGTTTATAGTTATGGGAACCTCTGGGTGTCCTGCCTCGTCCTGACCCTCCTCTATAGTTGCCATATGGGCTTACGAAAAGAATCTCTTCCCCTGAACTGGCAATCTTCCTGTCTCTAGCTCTTTGTAGGCCCGTGAATTTAGATCTCCTGAGTATCTTTGTGAAGTCTGTCGAATGACACTGGCTAGCGTGTCCATCGATTTAATCATCAGGACTTCTCTAGAATC